AAGGCAAAGGAAAAAAAGATCAATAATAATAATAATAATAATAATTTACCAATTTATATAGCGCGTATTTACATGTGCTGATCAATAGCGCTTTACAATCATATGTTTAAAAGAAAACGAAAATACATTACCGTGAGAATAAAATAAACTAAGTTACAAACTATAAAAATACTTCTTAAAAAGATAGGTTTTAAGTCGAGATTTAAAACTGTTAAGTGATGTTGCTTGACGAAGCTCCACAGGTAGCTCATTCCAGAGTTTCGGAGCTGCTGCTGAGAATGATCTTGCTCCCAATGTTGTAAGCATCTTTCCCTTGGGATGGTCCAATAAGAGCTTACCAGTAGACCTAAGATTATATAATGAATTCGATTTTATACTAATAAGATCGCTAAGATAAGTTGGCGCTAGGCCATAAATACATTTGAAAGTCAAAAGTAAAATCTTATAGTCAATACGCAAAGAAACCGGCAGCCAGTGCAGCTCATAAAGCGCCGGTGTAATGTGAGAAAACTTTCCAATGCCAAGAATAAGTCTTGCTGCTGCATTTTGCACACGCTGTAATTTAGCGATCTGCACATTTGGTAAGCCAAACAATAAACCATTACAATAGTCAAGACGGCTGGTTATAAAAGCATGAACAAAAAAAAAAAATTAAGCACATGCACAAAAAACAAGCAAGTAGGTTAACTGAATCCAATCCGCAGGAGAGTAAATATGCCCTCAGTGTTTCATTTTTAGCGATTTTCATGCTTATTGGCCAAAAATGGCAAAAAGAGGATTTGGTTTAAAAGGGCGTTTTTTTCTGTACTAGCTGGTGGTCGCCAAAGGGTTAAGCTATTTATGTAATAAAAACAACAGCAATTTTGGTTGGTATAATCTGAAGCTATATCACAACATTTACCGTGTTAGGATGACGGTTTTTGTCTTGCAAGAATAGATTATTAGTCGGCAACTGAAGGTTTTAATTTTCTTCAGCTAAACTTTTAATACCCCCAAGCATGAAATGTCAACACATCTCTGTGTTAGAGTTCTGCAACGTGAAAGGTCGTACTTTATCTTAAAGGACCATGGAAGATTTATGAGTTTCTTTGGTGGTCTATTTCTCAAAATTATGCCCTGTCGGGCGAGGCTGGACTAGAACTGGTATGCCCGCTCCGAATTACATCTCCTCAATCGATACTCTGCCTGTTTGTAAATTTGAGTGGCAAAAACCAGCAAGTTCAGCAATGCGTTCTTTCACAAGAACACAACGGTTTGAGATTGAAACCGTGCACCATTTGTTACTTCGGCGGAGCGCGAAGTAAAGGATTCGCGAGGCTCAGGAATGTATCAAAGTTGCCATTTTTTGACAAGATTGGGCAAGCAAAGTCTGGAGGTTTTCGGTTCTATTCGGCTATTTGACGAAGTGAGAACCGAATTAGTTCAAGATATCTCGAGATCACTTCGAGTTCTTTGATTTATTCTTTAACTTTTTCGAGGAAGGAAGAATTATTATTTTGGCTTTCCCGGGGTTTGAACCGACTCACCTGTGTGACCCGTCAGATCAGAGGAGACTCTAAGTTGAGGGATTAACCGATTGCGCTACTGTGACCCAAGGTAGTTTGGGTTATGAAAAATAGTTATGAAGTGATGCACTAGTTTCGGGACAAGATTGGGCGTGCAAGTTCGTGACTTTTCGGCTGGTTTCAACTATATCACGAAATGAGACCGGACTATTTCGTGATATCTTCAGATCACTTCGAGTTTAGTCTTTAATTACTCGAGGAATAAATAGAGGATATTTCGTGGCCGCGCAGAAACACGAAATTTCTCTTCGAGTGTTAAAAAACATTTCACGAGTGAGCCCTGTACAGTACCGCAATTGATCCCCAACCGCAAATGATCCCGAGACCGCAAATGATCCCCAAAATGGACCGCAAATGATCCTCGACCGCAAGTGATCCCCAAAGTCGACCGCAAAAGATCCCGAAAGAAAAATAGGAATGGCTTGGACTCAAGTTTGCGGATCATTGTGTCAATTTTATTATTATTATTATTATTACAAAACGTCACATTAAAAGCGAAATTTTGCTTCCCAAATAATTACATAAATAAAAACTAAATGCAAAAATTTCTTTCAAGACTTCGTAATTCAAAATTCCTATTGGGACATTTTTTCGTTGAGGCTGATAACAAACAAAAATATAGTATTCGTCAACTCTTTTTAAAACTGAATAAAGGAGGGATTTTTTCTTTCCAAATTTACACTGGCGTTTGTTTTTTTTTTAGTTTTTAGAAGTTTTGTTTGGTTGAAATATTAATGGGGCCAGTAACTTAATTACATGAGACGCCAACTGCATGTGCAATTTATATTTAAGCATCCTACTAAGCTAGGTGCGTCTTCAAAGCTTAGTATTGAGGTGACATAGGAAAGATCTGCGATCGCCAAGAGCGAACGATAGCCCGGGTAGAGAGTCTGGGAGCAGAAAATCTAGAGGCTCAGGAACACTATTTCCGTTATAACAATAGCACTTTTTTGTTTATTACTATGATCCCGTCAGTCTCCAAATACTTGTTAAATGAAATACCTAGCCATCCGAATGTTGACATTCTTTCTGGCTGGGATAAGTAAAAATAAACATAACTACTGCTTACCTCGCTTTTGTGTTTTTCTTTACCAGGTTTAGATTCCTGGTAACTGTCTCCAGCAAAGGCACAACAAATTAATATACATATAAGCGACAATATAACTATTCGCAACATGTTCATAAGCTGTAGCGAAGTTGCTATTTCGAAATAAACCGAATTCTGTGAACATTGATAAGTTCGGGGAAATTTTGACGTGTGTTTATTTTAAATCATGTCTTGTTTCGTAACAAGCACTTGGGTTACAAACAAATGTCTTGCTGTTTATCACGTAGAATTAACACTTCAGAGAATAATCATAATTAAATATCTGAAAATTAATTCGACACTTCCAAAAAGATCAGTAAAGTCAACTAAGCGCTTGTTATGTAAAGGGTGCCCGGCTTTGTATTCCTCAGTAGACAAGTTGAGCTTCTAGGCGCTACACAAATTTAATACAAAATTAAGGAGTTTTTTTACACCGATGAAACATTCTTAAAACCATATCATTTTCAGATTTATTCCATTTTTGTTTTTTTTTTTTCGCCTTGGAGGCCCGTAGCAAGCATAAAATGACTGGGGGGGGGGCTGAGCGAGTGGCCCACATTAACTCCCCCCCCCGCTTCGGTCCCTCGGTTAAAGCATACTTCTTGGTACATGTGAGATCACTACATTTATTTTGTCTACAATACCTTTTGTTCTTGTCTCTAATTTTCCGTTTGTGTTGACTTTGACGAAAGAGAGAACTTGTTTGGGATATCGTTCGCGGAAGATTTGCCAAACAATTGCTTTTGGTTTTCTTTCTCCCCAACGAAGTCATTAGCTACGTCTACAAGGGTCAGAACATCTGTTCTTTCCTTGTGAACATGCAACATCATGAGGTGGTTCAGCTGGGATTGTCATTGGTGCATTTCGATCCATTTTGCTTCTGAATATTTTGATGCTTAATAAGCAGATATTTTAAAGCTGTTGGTTGTTTTTGAAAGAGCAAAAATACGATTTCGTTCATTTGAACAATTCCAAATTGCACAGAAGAACAACAGTGCATAATCTTACCATGATCGACAATACTTTGAAACTTTAGCTTCCATTGACAGTTGTCCATTTTAGTAGAAAAATTCCACTTTTGTAGCAGAATTTAATTCAAGTCTGAAAATTTCTGGGGGGGCTCGAGCCCCCCCTGCCCCTCCCCCTGCTACGGGCCTGCCTTTTACAAATTGACCTGAGATCTGGCGTCCTCCATGCCTTTTTCTCTAGAAGGCAAGAGAAAAAGGTTCCTTTTTATAATCAGTCCTTTTTTTGTAATCAGTCCCGTAAGATCCAATCCATTCCCTCAATTTTTCACGGGATCATTTGCGGTCGACTTTGGGGATCACTTGCGGTCGAGGATCATTTGCGGTCCATTTTGGGGATCATTTGCGGTCTCAGGATCATTTGCGGTTGGGGATCATTTGCGGTACTGTACAGCCCTCCTTTCGGACTGTTTTATGATGAATTTAAAGTTACAAAATGCTGCACGAAGACATTTTGTCTTTGTTGAGTGTTACGTAGTAAAATTGCTTTCATGCGTTGCGTGACTTTCTCGAACGTTCTCTACGTTTTTGGATTATTCATGAATAATTAATTAGGGCATGTTAACATTTCAGCATGAGTCAGCAGATTTGCATCAGTTACTGAAATCATAAAATATGTCGAAAAGCTACTACCATTCGCCTGTTTAGTATTTTCTAGAACCTTATGTCAAACGGTATACAAGTTCCAAGCGAGTTTTTTTGGCGAACTACGTTTTTTCCCACCAGCTGGACTGCTGTGTTTAGTCAAGTGTGACGAAGGTCGATTTTCAGGTTCTGTGTTTGCAAGTTCGCGGAAGCCGTAAGATATCTGAAGTTCAAGTGAGAGTTAACACCTTACTCTTACCATATTTGATTTCTTACTATTTCTCCGCATTTACAATTAATTATTTCCACAACCACGACGCCGAAGTGTACGCTCCGTACCGTCTTGTTTGCTGCTGGATCATGCGTATGTATTCTTTTGAAGTGCCATTAGCCTTCGCCCAGGTAATGAATTTAAAATTGCCAAAGAGCAGTGAACGTTTCCTGCCCAACCCAACTCCCCCTTCTATTCTCACCTTAAAGATGTTATAATTATTCGCAAAATCCTGAAAAAAATAAGTTTGATCTGAAGGGCGTCACTCAGAGAAAAAAGCTTATAACTTAAATCTTAACCTTGCGTAATCGAATTTAGCTCGTTACAGTAGACTGTTATACTTGATACAGGTGTTTTATTTTACATCATTAGTGCCGTCAGAGATTCTTGCTCGAGGTAGGATAGCTACTGAAGCCTACAGAAGAGCCCTTTTGGAAGGAAAAGGTTACGCAAGAAGAGTTCCCGTCATGATAATTGGGCAGGCCCGGACAGGGAAGACAAGTCTGAAGAGGTCATTAAAAGGGGAATTGTTCAATCCAGATGAAGGAAGCACGGAAGGGATAGAGACAGATCCGTCCTATTTTAAAGTCACAACAGACGTTTGGAGGACAGGCCAGAAAAGCGAAGATACCGAATCAGAGCCAACGTTTTTGTTAGACCACCAGGTAGCCCAAAAGATAGTTGAAAGCTTAAGGAAAGGAGACCGCTCAGGGGATCCTAGTACTAGCGGGGCCAAGCCATCAATTAACGATTCCAAAGTAGTCGAACAAATAGAAGCGAATTCATTGCCTACTGATCGTTCAGAGGAAATTAGCAGTAGCGGGGTTGAACCTTCACTTCAAGACTCCAAAGTAGTCGAGAAAGCCAAACCCTATTCAAACAAACCAAACCCTATGCGTACAGATCTGAGGAGTAGCAGAACCGAGCTGTCACTTCACGCCTCCAATGTACCTGAGAAAGCCCAAACCAGTTCATCACGCACAGAACAGAGCGGGAGCGTTCCATCACTTCAAGACTCCAAAGATCATCTGTCTGTACCAGAATTACCAGAAAACGTAGCAGCATTGGTTCAAAATTTGCTTGAACGTAGCCAAGAGTTTGAGGACGAAGAAAACATATATTCCATCATTTGGGATTTTGGAGGACAGTCTGTTTACTACGTCACACATCCAATTTTTCTGACCAAACAAGCCATCTACATTTTAGCATGTGATCTAAGTCGTGATCCAGACCAGAAAGGCAAAGCTCCTACGAAAAAAGGCATGTATGAAAATAAATTAGACACTCACTGCAAAAAAACAAATCGCGACTATCTTGATTTCTGGATGACATCAGTTTATTCTTTGGTTAGTCCAAGTACTAACCGTCAGGAAACCCTGTCACCTGAAGTGTTGCCTGCAGTATTCTTGGCGTGTACGCATGCTGACAAGCCTTACAAAAAAAGGGCTAACCCAAAAGAACTTGCCGAAAAAATCTTTGCCACTTTAAAAGAGAAGATTTACGGTGATCTTCTAAAAGAAGTGTTTGTTGTAGACAACACAAAGTCAGGTAGTAATGATGAGTGCCAAGACGTGAAAAACCTGAGAGAAACAGTACTTTCTGTTGCCAAGGAGCTTCCACGGATTAAAAAGGCCATCCCTTTAAAGTGGTTAAAGTATGAAAAGGTTCTCCGTCTGTTGAGCGAGGAAGGTTATATGTGGATACCCATCGAGCGCGCCAGACAGATTGCCTCTGATGAGTGTGGAATTGATGACGATGAACAGTTTCGAACACTGCTTAACTTTTTACACGATCAGAGAATTTTGATTCATTTTAGCGAAACAGCAAATTTGGAAAAAATGGTTATTTTGAGCCCACAGTGGCTCATTGACATCTTCAAGGAGGTGATTACTGTTAAACGTTTCAAGCAAACGGATAAAACAGTTGCGAGATTATGGCGTAATTTTGAAAAGACTGGAATTTTAGATGAAACGCTTTTAAATCATGCGTGGAGACCCTTGTCTGATAATCGAGAAACCTGCGAGACCCTCATTGCTATAATGAAGAAATTTAGCCTACTTTGTGCATGGCCCTCAGACGGGACCACTCAGAAGTACCTTGTGCCATCCATGTTAATGTCTCCCCCAACAGATGATGTCCGTAAACACCTTGATTGTGTACGGACACCTTCACTTTTTGTGGCGTTTGAATCAGGCAGAGTTCCTCCAGGCTTGTTCTCGCGGTTTGTTCTGCAGTTTCATCGGTTGTGTCAAGAAGAATGGAAGAGCGAAATAAATCCTGACTTGTTCAATAATTTTGCTATGTTCCACATTCTTCCTGATCGTGCAATTTCTTTAGTATTTATGTTGCATTCCTCATCCATCGAAATAGTTTTTCACGATGGAAAGGATGCTCGCGATCTGAATACAAGCCGATTCATTTATTCGCAACTGAAATGTGTTCTTGAACATATTTGCATGGAGTTCTTCTGGTTAAAGCACGTTAAGTACAAAATGTGCGTCTGCTGTCCTGTGTGTTCTCAAGAAGACCGTGTCACGTGCCGTACTCATGTCAATCGTGGTTGCGACTGCTTGCACCTGTTGTCGGAGTCGGAGTTGCGTGAGCGGCCATATTGCAACAGACCTGTTATTTGTGGGGATCGCACAATTACCATTACGATGTTTGAACATTGGTTTGCTTTCTGTGATTCTCAGCAAAGCAGGATTCCACTCACTAAGGTTAGTTCTTAAATTCGCTTTTCCAAAACACGATCGCGAGTACAAGCTTTGGTCGCGATGGTTTCTGGGATAGTTTGGGTGGATAAACATCAGTGGGTGTTTCTCAAATGGGCCATTTGCACGATGGCGTCATTTTACTACTACTACTACTACTGCTGCTGCTGCTGCTGCTGCTGCTGCTGCTGTTGTTGTTGTTACTGTTACTGCTTGGATTACCAAATTTAAATATGAAAGAAAGAACGAAACGAATTCTGGTCTTAGTAGTAAAAAGACGTCATCGTGCAAATGGCTTATTGGTTGACCATTCATAACTAACACTTCCACCCTGATTCCAGAAATCCTTCTACCGAAAGCATTCTCCCCATAAATTAAACTTACCAAAGAAGTCGAGTTGTAAAGACTTGACGTGCCCTGCGTGATAAAAAGGTGATGTAATAGACCATTTTACAGTTGTGGACTTAGTACCCCAGCCTTCGAGTGAATGTGAGGCTGACGGTGACCTTGTTTTGATACAAACCTCCTTTGCTTTGTTATGGAAATTTTCCCTGAAAAATACTAGTTAGCATAAGAATAACTTGATTTACATAATAAAGCAGGAAGGTTTGTACCAAAACAAGGTCACCGTCAGCCTCGCTTCCATTCATAACTGTAAAATGGCCTATTTGCAAGCGGCGTTGCTCTGAGTATCAAATTTGAACCAAGAGCCATATGGCTCTTGATTTGAACGGAATGCTCAGAAATTCCGAGGTTTGCCGAATTTTTATTGATGTGTAGCGAGAACTGTATTTATTTTTTTGGTTAATACGAGTTTATTCGTGATATTTTTGGAAATCTGAACCTGACGGTTTTTTCAATCGTTTAAGTAGGAAAACACGAAAGGAAAGCACAAACATTTCTCGATCGTCCGATATATGTTTTCTTCCGCAAAACTTAGCGTAAAAATTTTACAACATTAGGTTAACGGGTTACGCAAAGGATCCGTGTCAGGGGCACCCAACGACGGTTTTCTCTTAAATACATTGAAAACACTTTTTACTCTGTCCAGAGTCCTGTTAGTTATCTAGAAATGCATTCTAAGCGATGCTATAAAATTTGTATCTGTTCGGTCGTCCTAGGGCAACTTGAGTCTTTTCGAAATTACCAGGGCTTCAGTATTATTTTCCAAAAAATTTAGATGCAGTTTAACATATTACGAAGGAGAGAATTTTTCTGATTCTTCTTTCCATCACATTTTTGAATCCGAAAATTCGAGGTTTTCTTTTTTCTTCGAAAAATGATCTAACCTCAGGAGTGAAATGTGAAAATTTAAACTTCAGCAAATCGTTTGGACTTTATTAGGTGAGCTTCGAAAATTTTACATAAATGGAACGGTCATCTATAAATTTTTAGCCGTTCTGAAGTAATAGAAAATTCTAGGCAATATTTGCGTCTCCGAACAGATATTTTACAGAAAACAGTCGTTAGGTGCCCCTGACGTTTAACCTTAACATTCCAGGGAGAATATAGTCTGCTACACAGCCGTTTTTAGTGTCGTCACGCAACGCTCCTCCCCAGTGGGGAGGAGCGTTGCGTGACGACACTAAAAACGGCTGTGTAGCAGACTAGGGAGAATAAAACCGCAGCAGTTTTATTAAGAGAAGATTCTACTAGGTAATTGTGTTTACCTGCGGTGGCCTAACCTCGAGTGTTATGGCCTTTCTTTAAAACAAGTCAAATTTTCGGCTATAAATTCTCCAATTCTCTCATTAATCACAGGGGATAAATTTCAAGAATTTCTTGCCCTCTTTTCAATTTGCTTTCCCTGCGTCCGTCTGTGTCAACTGCCGGCCTACGCTGCGAAATACAAATGTGAGGAACAAAACAATGAAGGCGGCATTGACAAGGTACTGGCCTTTTCTCAATTAAGCAATAGTCATGATGAAGAACTCTTTATTTTTCTAATTCAGTATAAACCATTCACGGTAAGACCTAATGGTAAGCGTTTACTCAGAAATCTCTTCTGAGAGTGTGTCAAAACACCGTAAAATTTGTTAAGGCGTTTAGTTCTCACGCAAATCGTGGAGTGATATTTAGGCGTGCTGCAGTTTTTTCCCAATACTGCTTTTGATTCACACTAAAGCAGGCAAAAGCAGTTAGTATGAGCATTTCCCAGGGAGCCCTCTGGTTGTCATTGTTCCTGGTTTACACTTCTCAAGTGACTACGATTTCTCAATCGGGTGTGAAAGGAGGCTTGCCGTAAGTGGATTGATGAAAGCCATATTAAATTCTTTTAATAATATTCTTTACAGCAACAAAGTGCTATTGAAGGTGATAACTCTGGAAAACGCGGTTTTTATTGTAGACAAGGTAAATTCTTTTCGTCATTTCAGTCACCATTAATTACTGCCGTTGCGCTTCCATTTTTAAAACATCTTTGGGAACTAGTTGAAGTTAAGCTAATGGAATTTGTTTTTGCTAGGCAATTTTAGCATCTGTGAAGTATACCAAAATCACGCTTGTAGATTTGCAAAACGTATTGGGAATGCGCTTTGATTGTGGGGGTAACGTTGACAGCAAAAACAAAACCCGATCTTAACCCTTAAAGGGGGCCTACATGTGACAGTTTTGTAACATCTTAAACAGTACTTCAGTTCTACTGTTATGTCAGTGGGACCGTAACATACATCCTTTTTTTTAACGTTACCCGTTTTTACCTTACTGGAAAGGGAGGGAAAGGGAAGAAGAGAATGTTGCAATCTGCCTTGTACGTTTTTACATTTATTTATAAAGTTAATTCATCTAGCTGGTACTGCTTACATATTAATCAAGCTGGCGATATTCATATTCATTTCACAGAAAATGTGTCTGAAACAACAGCCACCGATCCTCCTCAAGTCGTTGCTCGTCAGATAACGAATAAAGATCTTCCTCCAAAGTCGAAACATTTTGATTATTGCCAAATCCAAGTCGACATTTTATTACTGACGGTGGTGAAGGATGATACCAGCGAAGATTGTGAATTTCTAAGCTGCCTTCAACATGTGAACCCTGATTTGTGTAAGATTTATCACCCAGATCTTGGCTACGTGTACCTCGGAGATATGGGAGAAGATGATTTGAAGCTAAACGTTGCTGTTATGAAGTGCTACGAGGGTTCCAGCTCCGCAGGAGGCTCTATAGTTGTTGTAATAAACGCTGTCAAAGTCTTGAAGCCGAAAGCAGTGTTTTGTGTGGGTTCTTGCAGTGGCCTAAATGACACCAAAGTTAGTCTTGGAGACGTAGTAGTTTTGAAAAAGTTAGTCACATACGCTTTTTCAAAAGTTACGGAGAATGGTATTGAAGAACTTGGAGTCAAAGTGCCATTAAAGCCTCATCTTTCGAAATTGATACTAGGTGCTGATGATGGCTGGACGCCACCTTTGAAAGATCCAGGAGCACTCGAGGTGAAGATACATCGCGGCACGTTTCTGAGTGGACCGGAAGTAATAAATAACCACGAACGGTGTAATGCCCTCATCGAACGATTTCCAGAAGCAGTTGCTATAGAACGAGAAGGTGAAGGTAAGTTTCTTGGCCAGTTCATGTGTTAGCAGAGTGTGCATGAATTCAATTCAATTCTGTTGTAAGAAAGCATTCTTTTAGGGCCGACTTCTTTGAATCAGATTCACGTAGATTTCCACAAGAATCTTAACTGTCGTTTTCATTACACACTTGCCGTATTGAACGCGGCGTTTGTTTGAATTTGCAGTTTTTGAGCGCCTGTTGGTTTTAAGAAAGGGGTTTTTATTGCTTTTCTTGTCAGCTTGTCAGTTAGGTTATTGTATACCACAGAAAAAAGGTCTGTGGGTCTCGGTATACGGTAACCGTATTTTATTGTATGACGTTATTGCCCTCTGCATATTGATGCTGTAAAACCAAGTTATAAGTAAGTCTTCCTGACCTGGTTCTTTCCACCGGCGTCTGCATTTGTCAACTCTTAACTCCACTTCTCTCCATTTTCCACAAATCTCCATTTCAGGTGTGTTTGTAGCAGCGCATGACCTGGATATTGAGTGGGTAGTTATTAAAGGAATTTCAGGCTACGCTGATGGCAGAAAAGTTAAGGATTCTTGGAGAACATTCGCAAGTTTTATGGCAGCTTCTCTAGCGGCTCACATTCTCAGCGACACTAATGCTTTTCAAGCCTTGCCACACTATGGAAGTGCAAGTGAGTATTGGACATTCAGAAAACGTCCATGTTGTATTTTCCTATGCCATCTCCTATTCTTTTCCTTCGGCTCAGTTGTGGGTTTGCTCTTCTCATAATCCAACCAGTAAATTTTTTGGAAAGTTTTTTCCAACCAATCTAAATTTTTCTTTGCAGTTCAAAGAGTAATTTTCGGTAAACTGGATGATAAATTGCTCTGTATCAATTTAGCTACAATCATGGACAAAAGTCTTGGGACACTTTTGCGTTTCTGGGGAGTTTTCCAATTCACACAGGTCCAACCCTTCGCCTCACCCCACAAACAATGTTGGACGCATGTATCCAGAATTTTTTCCGAGTTTCAACTTTGTATAGGGTGGGGGAGGGAGAACTGCAATAAAATTTCAAAAAGGATGCACTGTTTTAAGAGGGAACCGAGAAATGACAGAAAAATATGAATATTGTAGTACTGTCCCAAAGACTTTTGTCCAGGATTGTTTGAATCCTGGTTTTGGGGAAAAAAGTCTGTTTTCTTCATTTTTCCTACCCTTTTTGGAGACAAGTAGGTTATTACATGCAAGAAGAATGACCTTTGAAACTATTTTGTCAACAAGGCAATTCCCTTATTTGTCATATCGGGCCCATTCCCCTAAACTGGAGCCGAGTACAGCGGAAGTTGGTCGTGCACGATCTTCCGTGCACTGCGCACGCGCACAATACTCGGTCGCAAAAACACAGTGTATTATCAATATTCGCTACAAATTAACTAAGAAACACGGCTAAGGTATATTTCAACCATAAATTAATTGCATTTGAAATAATATGCGTCAAAAAGACCATCCCGTAAAGTGAATACAACAGTACTCGCTTGATTCAGTGAGGACGAATTATCTTGTTCTTCATTTCTCTCCATTTCTAAGTGATTACTGTGACTAAAGAGCTTAAAATTACGTTTTCGCTGTAAATAAAAGCGTCAAAGGATGTATCTAAAGATAAATTTTCTCTCACCATCCCTGAGATGTTAAGATTCTATAGAAAAAGCACACATTATTAAGGTTCTAGAGTGAGTACTGTTGGTTAGTACTGTTCAGCTATGCAAATCAGTTCAAAGTAAACTAACTTGGTTATTTACTTAGTTCGTGACAAATATCACGCAACGTAATTTTTGTTAGCAAATAAACACATTTATTATTCATTCAAAATATTTCCCCAATTCTGATTGGCTAAAAGCACACGCATAATTCATCATAACCAGTTACTGATGACCAAATTTGGAATAATTTTGTGTGCAACGAGGAAATGACGTCAAAAATGCAGCCCGCTACAGGTTAATGCACCGTTAACCGAGAAGACCTGGGGACGAGGTTGAGTTGTTGTGGTTGTGACAACAAAAATGGCCGACACTTCACTCGTTTCAAGAGTAACAACTACAGCTGGAACTAGGCGAAATAATAGGTAAAAACATAGCAAAAACAGCAAGAAGACAACTCGGAGGGCGACATCTGCTATTTGGAGAATATTTGCGCAGCTGGACAAACTTAAATGTACACATACGAACACATACGAACTTAACATCGATGGAGGTAAGCACGTTTTAGCTATGTTTTTAAACTAGGAATTATTTTGAATGAATAATAAAACAATGGATAACACCCTCCTCGACCTCCATAATTCTTCGTAAGATACTCAGCCTTATTCATTAATTGTTGCTGCGGAGCGACCGAAGGGAGCGAGCAGCAACATAATCAGGATTTAAAGGAAATATATAAGGGGCGACGAATTCTCGAATTCATCACTTTTTACCACAATGCATTGCATTTAACCAGAGTGCATTGCGCCACGAACAACTCAAATAAAAACACGGGGAAGTTCGGTGGCTGAGAGAGTGCATCGTTCGCTGCTCAGACTTAGAGTTTTCTTTGTGGCAAATTTTCTACAGCACGGTTAGAGGTCTTACCAAATTTTAAGACACGCAGGAGTCAGATGAGTACGATGGTTAACTTGGGGATTGGATTTCAATTCAAGAGCCTTTTTTGACTCGTCCAGGTGTTAAACCTGACGAGAAGATGAGCATTCGCTCTTCGACTCCGCAACACGGGGGATATACAAATTCCAGATTGCTAGGAGGTGATGTGAAAGTGAGAAAAATGTCATGCAATGCTATTCTTAAGAAACTGTATGAGCCGAAAATGGATGTGATTTTGACCATTCGCTTCAAAATAACAGCGGAAATCGAGATAACAAAACATATGTTTTGTGTCCTACTTTGCAGACGAGGACGTGTATCGGCGTTTTGAAAAGCATAATTATGTTCTTTCATTCATTTATTGCCATGGAATATGCGTTTACATTGTTTTTTCACTGTTAATAGCTCGGTTAATGCGGCTGGCGATCATCTTGCCGGCGGAAGTTTCATGGAAAAGGAATAAAATGAAAGACTTTTCCTACAGATTACGTAATCAGTCTCTGTGGTGTAGTGGTTAGGTGTAGTCGCGTCGAGTCAAAGGTGCCGGGTTCGAGTCCTACTGAATTATTTATTCCTCCTTTCTTTTTTTTCCGTTTTTTGTGTTGTTGTTTTCTATAAATATATAGCTAAATAACTGTTACTTAATAAAATGCAACAAACAGCAAGAAAAGTATTGTGTTTCTAGAGAAAATGTCGTGCACCGTATATTAAATATATGGATAAACGATCTGAATTTCTATCATTTCGTACAATTTACTGTGGGAAAACCAGCGTTGATAACCACTTGATCATTTTCTAAACAGCGTTCCCACGAGTTCTTTCTATAGACTGATAGTAATTATTCTAGTACTTTCCAACATGTTAATAGGACATTCAATGTCATTTTTGATTTTTTTAAGTCTCACTGCCTAACTAATGCCAGTATCAACAGAATGTGCCGCAGCATTACTATCTTTTAGATACCCAGGTTAAATAAATATTAGCAACACTTTCAAACAAAAAATGATCCGTTACAATTCTCGTGAAGTCAGCGACAAACAGTTTTGCCATGAACCAGGCGTATTATGAAACAACCGCTTTTTCCTTACATCATAATTTAGCTTCTGTCGAATTTTGTGTTGTACAAATGACAGGGACAGCTATTTACGTCGCTTAATATTTTTTCACCGCCGTTCTATCTTTTGGAAAACGTTATTTTCTCTGCCAAGCCTACTGGACTTTTTTTGACATTCGTGCTCATATTGAGTACAGGCGACTGCAATGTTGAAATCTCTGAGCAACTTTTATACCAGGTAAAGGACCTCGTCCACGACTCTAGCTCTTTGGCCTGCCGAAATTCTTACTGTGTACACCATAATGTTAGTAACTCGTTGCTTCCTTTAACCGCTTTCGGACGTGAGTCTTGTTTAAAGTTATGTTATCCTTTGTAATCAAGCACGCGCTATGAGATACCACAATTTCTGGTGTATATCATTCGTTTCGAGCAAAGTGATGTAGCAGCGTTTTTTTGACCTTCTTACAGTCAAACCGTGACCTTGAGACCTCCTCGTTTATATGACCGCGTTGTTGTTACGACCACATTAGGGACTTTAAGATCCAACGACGCGACGGCCACGAGAACGTCGTTTAAAAAAGTGTGTTTGCGTTCTTTCAATCTTTATAGCAATTATTCGTACCCATGTAGCAGATGTAGGCGAACCCTCCTGAAGCTGAATTTCAAGGGACCATATCCAAGCTCAGAAAGAGAATTAAAATTTCGTCGTTGCTTGTTTACGTCTTTCATAAAACACAAAATAATTAGGCATTTTCACGTCGTAGTCGTGCAAAAGCGGGAAAGAAAGGTACATGTACGTGTGATGCACGTGCAAAGCTGTTGTTTTGCTTATAAAACCTATTGTTTTTTGACGTTCTCGTCACCGTCCGCGTCGTTGGATCTTAAAGTCCCTATTGGCTGTTGAAATCAACGGAAGTTGAAAGCGCTTATTCCTCGCGTAGTTGTTTTCGTGAATGATCCGCCGTCGGCTGATTCTTTTTTATTGTTTTATGGTCTTATGGTAGGAAAATATGCCTCAATATGTGCCATGGAAATTCAGAAATTCATATGGTTGTTCTTATCTTCCCAGAATTTGCTTTATTTACGGAACTAATGTGAGTGTATCGCGGAGATGGACAGTAGTGGGACTGTAGTGTTGACCGCTTACAATGTGCCTTTTAATTTACCCTCAAACAAGTGTAAATCAAAATACTGTCCATCTTAAAAGTGGTTTCATTTGAAAGTTTAGCCGGGAATGACTTTTGTGAACGGGGTACGCAAGCGGAGGCTCTTTGCTCATTGCTCATTGCGATAGAAACCTCAATCGCCAACTGTGGAGTATTAGACGAACAACATCGCATCGCTCTTCAAGGAATTTTTGTAAGCATTATTATGAAAGCTGGCGGCGCTAGTCTTAAGGTAACAGACTAGTTGTTTGCCTTCGTTTTTTGTGAAAACTAAACCAGGAAAACTGGTGTATTTACTCGTTGGCTGTTTGCTGTTACGTTTGTTAATTTCGATTAATAAATTTAGCGAGTCAAGTTTTTAGACCCACAGTCAAACAACAACACAACTCAGTGAGGAGAACTACAAAGTGTGTTTGTAATACTGTTTTTCGTTTTGTTTACAAGTCAGTTGAGCATCCAGTTTTAGAAGTGTCGTTTTGTTTTTCCAAAGGTGGCAGATAATATTTACCTGGATTTTCAAAAAATATATATATTTTTAGACGTTTGTTTCTCTAGTAAATTCGCAAATTGCAAGTGTACGCACAGGACTAAATCAGCTACATTAAATGCACTTGAGAACTCGTTTCGTCTCGCCTTTTCACCGGAATGTTATTTTCAAAGCGAAACGAAAATAGAGCCTGATCTCAGGTTACTTCCTGCCCTGTTTCTCCTATGTTTAATATTACCAGTCTCTGAGCCATCATCTCTCTTCTGCTGCCATACAAAACTTTGGGAAACGAGGCTTGTCCTTTAGTCACTCATGTTAAATCCCCGCTTCCGAAAATTCGTATTACTGTTTAATATTCGCTGATGACATGGGTAAAACAGGTATTTTGTTAATTCCCCAGCCACCGGGGCGAACATGTTAAATGTGCGTTAAATCCCGGCATTGGCCGCGTTAAATCTCCGCTATGCCGTTGGGGTCGGGGGGCCGGGGTTGCAGTTGACTAATGCATTACTTATTTTACTTAGTTTTATTTTTCTGTCTGTCAGAGATAATCAAACACGCTTTGGAGCCTTCGTTAATCTTGGCAGTTACGTAAAAGGTTTTAAATGAAGAACTCGTGCATTAAGAATAGTTTTATTTTATTGTTGCTGGCTATTCTAAGGACCCTCTTGCTTTTACCTTCATGCGCGATTTCCGGTTTCGGTCTTGTCTTAAAAAGTGACCCGCAAGCCTGCGTAGCAAGCGTTTCTGCGCGAGTTCATCGAGAAAAGCTGGGACAAGAGCAAAAAAAAGGAATGACGGGGGAGGGGAAGGGGAAGGAAGGAAACGCTTGCCCGCAAACCCCACGATTTTGAAAAACTGCGTTCGCCCACGAACGCAGCTTCTAATTGGTGCGGTGCTGGTAGTGTTGATTACTTAGCACTCGAAACATCAATCAAACCAGGTATGCTTTGTTTACGTGCGCCACAGATCTGGTCTTATCTGAGTTGTTAGACTGTTCACAGTCCTCTAGCACCTTGTTTAGTTCTAGCCTGAGTATCAGGCCTTCCTAAGGGGCTAGTTTAGTTCTGAAAACCGGGAGAGTGAAAGTGAAGAGTGATTCAAGCGCTGTTTTCCAACATCGGTTTCTTCGCCCGATTGAATTCTACTGGGTAGAAAAATTCAGAAACATCTACTTGACAGTGTAGCTTGACCGTAAAGAAGGAAAAGAGAAAGCTTTATGTAATTGATATTTTTACACGCTTTAATACTAGTACAATGATGATGAACCTTTCGTTTTTTCGTTTCATAGGAAATGGAAACCCAGACCAAGTTCCAAAACTTACCCGAGTTGAAACATTTGCCAGTTAATGAGGCAAAGCCTTCCCAGTATGATATTGTTTTCAAACAGAGTAGCCTCATTGAAAGAAATATGGTTAATTAGGTTTCTATTTGCGCAATGCTTTACGGCATGAGCGCTACTTGATGTTTTTGTTGACTTTGTTGTTTGATCGAAACATTAAGAAGGTAAGTATTGTTTCATGATTTTTTTGTAGGACAAAAAAGGAAGCCTCAAACCAGGATATGCAAGATCGTTTGAATCACGCGACCCTCAGGAACAGGTGGGTACTCATATTTTGCTCGATTTTGTAAACAAAAAAAAGGCAGGGATTGGCCAATGAGGGTCAGATGGGCTCCCTTCTGCAATTTTAGGGAGCCGTTTTTGAAGAAAGGGGGTCCAAGAATGGTGGTCCCCCAGAAGGTATTTGAACTTATTGGTACAGACTGTTCCATGAGAAAAGGAACCTTTATTGACGCTTTGCCGCCATTTTGGAACATTCTGGGCAACTGAAAAAGCCTGGGCTCAAATTACTGCAGAATCCCGGATGTTTGTCTTGTGAAATAATGACTCAAACGAAGAAGAGAAAGGCAATTGAGACAGTAAGAGGCTAAAAAAGCTCAAAGTGAGTTTATAGAGCGGCCGTCAAATCAGTGTTGTTGTCAGTGATGTTTTCGAATACTTTATTTCAAAAAAGGTTCATAGGTCTATTGAATCAAATGTTCTGTGGTTCATAGGTCTATTTTTTTTGCGCCCTATTTGACGCGGCAACGTAAATTTTATGCGGGATTTTTTTCCAAATTTCCGGAAATCCGGCAAGGCCGCGCTCCGTTTCCATCCTGGCCGGCATCGAAAGTCAAAGACACAGACACGTATAGCCGAGGTTTAGTAGCTCGTAAAGTCCTTTTAAATAGAACTGATCCATTATTTCAGGGTTTTCTTTCTTTCCAATGTGTGTTTTCCCTGCTAGCGGAGGTCTCTTTTTCCTGATATTCGGCAGGAGAGTTCCGTGGTAGCGGAGGTCTCTTTTTCCTGGTATTTGGCAGTAGGGTTCCCTGCTAGCGGAGGTCTCTTTTTCTTGGTATTCGGCGGGCGGGTTTCCTGCTAGCGGAGGTCTCTTTTCCCCGGTATTTGGCAGGAGGGTTCCCTCTAGCGGAGGTCTCTTTTCCCTGGTATTCAGCGGGCGAGTTCCCTGCTAGCGGAGGTCTTTTTTCCCTTTAGCTGGTATTCGGCGGGCGGGAGAAATAGAGACCTCTGTTAGCAGGGAAATGTGTGTTTAGGGTTTTAAAATAATTCCAAAATATCGTGACATTACATGCTCTTTAATGGCAGTACAAAGATGATGAACCTTTCGTTTTTTCCCGTCATAGGAGATGGAAAACCAGACTGCCGAGTCCCAAGTCTTGCCTGAGTTGGAACAATTGTCTACTGTTGAGGTAAAGCCTTCCCACGACATTAAACAATGTTTAAGAAAGATCGTCGATGAAAATAGAATTGGTTAATTAGGTTTCTACTTTCGAGAGGCTGGTAAACGGCATCTCCGTTTGTTAGATGGTGGTGATGACTTTTTGACGTGTTTGTTACTTAACATTAAAAACTAAATGCGAGGGGTCGTTTTCTGATTTGTGACAGGAGTTGCGAGGGAAAGCCTTCGTGGAAAATTGTTGTAAAAGATAGATAATTAGGCCTCAACCCTTGTCTTGAAATTTAATTTCGAAGTTTTGTGCCGTTGAATGTTGTTTCATGATTTATTTTGAGGCGGGACGAGAAAGGGAACCTCAAACTTGAAGATGTAGGATCGTCCGCTGGATCCGACGACCCTCGAGAACAGGTGAGACATCATATTTTGTAGAAAAAGAAAAAGATCTATTCTTTGAAGCATTTCACCACTATAATGTTAAAAAGGTCTTAAGAAATTATACGAAATGGATGGTAAATAGTTTGACTGTGTGGTTTGTGGCAGGAAGAGGAAGAAATCGCCGAATCTGAAAATGAAAGGTCATTACCAACATCAGAGGAAAATCAGGAGCAGGTGAGACAAAAGATTTTGTTTAAGAGAAAAAGGGACGTTTCCAGTAAAGGATTTTACTATAAGTGAAATCATAAAACTAATGACTTTTTGGCTGTTTTAAGGCTATTCATAAGTTACCGTCACGCCAGGTCAAGAGTAGCCTCATAGATATCGTTAATGAATCGACTATTTGAAAAATGAATCAATTGGTCGTTGCCGCAACTAGTTGATAAAATACCAACATACATAGGAACATGTCCGTACTAAGCGTACTAACGTAGTAAGACCAAATAGAATACCAACATACATAGGAACATGTCCGTACTAAGACCGAGTAAAATACCAACATACATAGGAACATGTCCGTTCTAAGCGTACTAACGCACTGAGACCGAATAAAATACCAGCATAAATAAAACTTCGCCGTAGTACGCGTGCTAACGAACTAAAGCCGAATTAGATGCCAACATTTTGAGAAGATCGCCGTATTTAGTGTATTTAGCCAGGTCAAGCGTACCCTCATATATATCATTAATGAATCGATTATTTGAAAAATGAATCAATTGGTCGTTGCCGCAACTAGTTAATGGAATACCAACATACACAGGAACATGTCCGTACTAAGCGTACTAACGTACTAAGACCGAATAGAATACCAACATACACAGGAACATGTCCGTACTAAGCGTACTAACGTACTAAGACCGAATAGAATACCAGCATACACAGGAACATGTCCGTACTAAGGGTACTAACGTACTAAGACCGAATAGAATACCAACATACACAGGAACATGTCCGTACTAAGCGTACTAACGTACTAAGACCGAATAGAATACCAACATACACAGGAACATGTCCGTACTAAGCGTACTAACGTACTAAGACCGAATAGAATACCAACATACACAGGAACATGTCCGTACTAAGGGTACTAACGTACTAAGACCGAATAGAATACCAACATACACAGGAACATGTCCGTACTAAGCGTGCTAACGTACTGAGACCGAATAAAATACCAACATACATAGAACATAGCCGTAGTACGCGTGCTAACGAACTAAAGCCGAATTAGATGCCAACATTTTGAGAACATCGCCGTATTTAGTGTATCAGTAACGTTTTCAAGGCTGCAAAAAAATGCTACCGTGCGTCGCGAACATGACCGCGTTACCGGGCCGCGTTAACAATAGGGAGCTTAAGCAACGACGACGGCGACAGCAAAGAGAACGGCAAAAAGCAAAAGGTTTAGATTGGCAAAACAACAACTTTGCACGTGCATCACGCTTTTTTGTACATTTCTTTGCCGTCACTGTACGGCTACAACGTGAAAGTTCCTAATTTCACCTTTTGTCGAGGACATGAACAAAGGACAACGACTTTCTTTTTCTTTTCCTGACCTTTGATACAGTCTTTTAGAATTCAACTCCAGAAAAATTTGCCAACACTTGACGAATTGAACGAGTTGGAATAAGCGAGATAAAGTTTGAAGTAGCGCGAATTCACTTTTTAAGGGACGTTTTTGTAGCCGACGGCGACGGGAACGAGAAGGCAAAAAAGCAATAGCTGGAGGTTTAGATTGGCAAAATAACAAGTTTGCACGTGCATCACGCTCTTTTGTACATTTCTTTGCCCTCGTTGCAACGTGAAAGTGCCTAAATTTACGTTTTGTCGAGGACATCAGGAACATAAGACAACAACTTTCTTTTTCTCTTCCTGAACTTTGATACAGTCCTTTAGAATTCAACTCCAAAAAAGGTTTTCCAACATTTGACGAGGTAAACGAGATGGAATGAGCGAGATAAAGTTTAGAGCAACGCGACTTCACTTTTTGAGTGACGTCATTGTAGCCGTCGCCGTCGTTGTTGCTTAAGCTCCCTGATACATGCGTAGGGCACTTAAGGTCAAAAGCTTTTAAATCCTCTGTTTAAATCATTACTGCACATACCTCGACTTTCGGGGACATGCTGTAGCTGATGCGGAAAAAGCAGGGATTTATCTCAAGGTTTCGGAATCAGTTCCAATCTTTAGGTTGCTCAATTTATCAACTCAAATTTATACTATGCAACTGAAACCACGGAGAGACCACAAGACCCCGTACATATGAAAATTTATCGACCGTCAAAGCGGCACGACGAAATTTGGACACTTCCCATCAACAGAGCAGCTCTTTTTCTTTCACTAGAAGATACTTTCAGTCGTCATGATCAAACTCATCATCACTTTGGTCGGTCATGGAGATGGGGGTTGCAGAGTTGCCAAACTCAAAGAACTGTTTGCGAACGCGAGGAAAGTTCAGTCATGCCCAATACTTCCGCACTTTTACAGACCGTTAGAGCAGTTGAGGGATCGTACGCTCCGTACAAACCATCAGCATTGCTAACAACCCGTATTCTGAGCACATAGGGAGCGTACGTCTCATTATTACATCGGGGCACTGTGTGTTATGGTTCGTACGATCCATATGCTTGATTGATACAGATCGTATTTATTCCTCACTATGATAAGCTACATACGCCATAAAGCAAAACAAGCACACTCCAACAGTAGTATTTCTTGTTCTATAAGCCGTGAACCAAAACAGGCATGCCACAAATGTCATATTCCTTGTTGTATAAGCTAAAAAGTGAAACAAGTGCTGTGCAAAAGTATAATATATCTCGTTCTTGCCACCCAATGTTCGATATTTCCTGACCGTCGCTCTTAATTTGGAGAGATTCAGATAGGACTTTCCATTGATAATACATGTATTCTTTAGGATGTCCCTGGGGGTGATGCTTGCATGTGGCCACAAGAACCAGGAGGCAAAGAAGCACCCGGTAGACCACAAACAAGTCATGATGATGATGATGGTGAAGGAGATGATCAGAGTGACAGCTCAGAGGATGATGATGATGATGACGAAGATGCCCATGGAACTGCACTAGAGGGGTACAGCATTTTTTTATGAATCAATCAACCACCATTTTATGATCTTTATTATTTCTAACATACAAACTGGATCCATCCTGTTAGCAGACACCCATGCAAACATGTTCCCGTTTGTTCACAAAAACGCAAAACTCTACACAATTTCCACCTCTGGTTAATTGACACCTCTGTAATTATGCAGACACCTAACACTTTACCTTTATTACTGAAAGGATTGATTGTGTGGTTAATTGCAACCAGTCTAGCTTTCTTTCTCGAAATGAATATTATTGTTATTCTTTCAGGGCCTATGATCCAGCTGATTTTGAACACCTTCATGTCAGCCAAGAAATTAAGGATCTTTTCCAGTACATTACAAGGTACGTAGTTATTTATTTTTCTTTTATAAGGATTGCTAAGGCTCAACAGTCAGAACAGTAGGAAGCGGGGCCCCTGAAAATAAACAAAAGTTAACTGGAACCTCCACACATATTTATACAGAGAAGGCTCTCCAGTGATTTCTATGTGGATCATAATTTGCATCATCTGTGTTCTTCTATCACTCCTAAGGTATACACCTCAAACAATTGATGTGGAGCACAAGCTAAAGCCATTTAATCCAGATTTTATTCCTGCTGTTGGAGACATTGATGCATTCTTGAAGGTAAAAGTGTTTTTTCGTATGGTAGAATTGAAGAAGTTAAAATCAATTTTTTTTTGTTTTTACATACATGTAGTAGCCTTAAACCTTCACTCATCAGTTGCTGCAGATACAAGGTCCCATTTGGAAAATACCCCACTCAGAAACCCTTCACTGAATATTCCCACAAAAATGAGATATCAATAACATATAAAGTATTATCTAATGATGGTGTTTTGTTTATCACTTTGTCAGGTAACTCGTCCAGATGGTAAACCTGAGACTTTAGGGTTGGTTGTACTGGACGAGCCTATTGCAAAGCAATCAGATCCCACAGGTACTGTGAGAAAGCAGAGGCTATTCATGCGCCAGCGATACATTCACAATAACACCATCAACAAAAGTGTTGGTTACAAAGCAAACTCAAACCCTACTTGCATTATCTCGACTCACTTGAAGCACTCACTCTTGTAAATTTCCGTTGATTTCAGGTTGCAATGAAAGTCAGTTTCACATATACTAGCCCAAAAACAAAATTTAATTCTGACAAGCAGTATTAACAATAATTAATTACAGTGCGGCTATACACAAACAAAGGCCACCCAGACAAAATTCTGGGACAAATTTTGAAATTAGCTAATCACAAGTCAAGATCGAAACAATGAAATTGTGCATAATTGTACTCAGAGCCAGTTCAGAATACGTTGCGAACCATTTTTCTGACGGATACGTTGTATAGCAAATAGGGAATCGTGATGTTTGTGTAAATCAAGCTGAAAATGTTTTGACAATGTCTGGTTTAGCTGCAATCAAAGCATTCAGAAATTTTGAGCAATCTAAACTAATCTTTGAATTCCTGTAGCCTAGTCATTAAAGCCACTAGCCCAAGGCTATGGGACACACACAGTTTCGCCTCCCATGCAGGCATTTTATCCCTTCCTGTGAGGTGAAGAGGAATACAACTCTTGTGGTGCCTTGGAATATAATGTAGAAGGTGCAGTCGCACTTTTTAGCAACATGTTGAAAGTGTTTATATATAATACCCCTTTCCTTTTAGTTCTGGATATGACAATCAGAACCATCTCAAAGCAGACAAATGTGAAAGCTATGGTATGTAAATTAATATTAAATAAATAATATTAAATGATATTTTGTTAACAGTAAAAGGAAAAGTTATTGGCAAACTCCTGGAAATAATTTCTCATTCATTATTATAATACGTGCAAAATGTATCTGTTCATATTACAGACAGTAGGCAGCATTGAAGACCCGGAAAAGAACCCTAAAGCTGTGGACAACTGGATTGACTGTATCAGGTGTGATCATATATGTTAATACTAATCTATCCACATACATTGATTACCATGTGAAAACAATAAAGGTCAATCCTGCATTTTGTAATAATTACCCAAGTGCCTAGGTACTTGATAATTAATAGAAATATTGTTATTATTATTATTATTATTATTATTATTTTATTTTATTTTTTTTTTAATTGCAAGTAAAAAACAAAAAAAAATTATGCAGAATAAAGAAATGAATAAAAAGAAAAAAAAATTGCGAATTTACACACTTACACGGCAATACTTAAATTACAAGTATTATAAAATGTTATTATAAATTGTAGCTTAAACTTGCATGGTTTATAAATTGTCTGACCTTTATTTTAATGAAATAATGTACTAAATGTAATTATTACAAAGACAAATAATCATCAGTGGTAGTTTTCACAGGTGACACATAACCGTTGTAGTTTGTACACTGCATATTAATTTTTGACTTGTTTGCAGAGAACTTCATCAACAAAAACCTGCTCCTGCAGTTCATTATCAGAGGTGAGGAGTTCCTAACTAAAAGCAGAGATTTTGTTTAAGATTGGTTTTATCATTGCACTTCATTTTACTTGACTTGAATTAAGAAACACTGGGTTGAAAAGGTATTTGGGAAAATGAAACTGTGTGTGTTATGTGGTGGTGAATTATTAACTTCTCTCAGCTTGGGTGAAGAGAAGGGACAACCAGAAAGACATCTGCATTTTTCACAAACTAGTCTCCAGGACTACCACTGGATTTCTGCATTTTAAAGGAGACTGTCTTTGTAAACTTGTCAGCTCAGATACATGTGTGTGTGCAGGAATGAGTGTATAGTATTGAACAAGTGCATGTTAACAGAGGATTTCACGTCTATGAGTATCTACGAGTGGGCCTAAAGTTCTTGAAAAGTTCTTCATCCTGTCTAATATCACCACTTTGCTTGTCTGCCTTGTAGCCTAAAAAACTCTTTCCGTTCACTTCAAAAAATTCTTTGTGTGGTTCTGGAACCCTTTGTAGGTTAAATGCTTTCTCTTAAAAAAGTAATGGAAGAGTATATGCAAATCATTTTCAGCTAATAAATTCGGCGAGGTTGCTAAATAAAGTATACGCCCATAATAGGGCTTAGACTATCCTCAGAGACCCAGGGGCAGCTAGTCAGGACGATAGAATGTTCATGGTGAAAGTTTACCATAACAATAAACTTTCACCACAAACATCCTATCGTCCCAACTAGCTGCCCCTTGGTCTGCGATGATGAGCTTAGACATGGTCTTTTCTTTCTTATTTTAACAGAAACATGCCAGATATTGAATTTCTTATGCAAGAGTGGCCAGAGGAATTTGAAGAACTTTTGAATAAGGTATTTAGTAACTTTGTCCTTTAGTAAGATTTCTTTACAATCTGCTGGGGAAAATGACTTTATGTAAGGGTTATCGGCCTGAAGCGAGGGGTCATGTGATTTATTCCCCTCGTGCGTTGCCCGAGAGGAATAAATCACATAACCCCTCACTTCAGGCCGATAACCGTTACATGCTGGCACTGGTGGCATTCACAAGTTTCTTAGCTTTTTAATTATGTTAGTTTTTCAAAGTCGCATGTCAAATTAGTTGTTCGCAGTGAATGCTAGAAACAGCCTAAAGAGCCTAGCAGTGTCGAGCGATTCAGAGCCAGAAGTAGAGCCCTTTATTACTCAAACTAAAGCAGCTTCAGTGGCGGTACTGCAAGAGCTTTCGGAAAACAATTTGAATCTTCAGTTTGCGGCTGCAGAAAACGAACAAGCAGTTGACAATTTCATTTTCGCACCGAGGATCTTTCGACCGACCTGCATGTTTACATAAAAGAAGATTCCGGGCGAGGGATCACTACTGTAACTCACAAGGAAATTCAGTTGAGGAATGAAGCAAGAATACCACAAAACACGAAGAGGTCAACTACATGTCTTCATAGAGTACACTAGTTTGGGATGACTGGTTAAAGAACGGAACACCTTACCATGACAGCGACACTTTCATGGAACCGTAGAAAAGACGCTCTTCAATTTCGAACTGTCGTTCTGGCTGTGAAAATCGATGAACCAACAACTAAGAAAATCCGTGAATGTGGCGCAAAAGAAACGCGGCTAAGTTTAATTTTAGTAATTATAGCGTCGTGTTTAATATTTCCAATAAACATTTGTGATTTTTTTCTTTACGAAAAGCTAATTAAAATGCGAGGGGATTATGTATTAATATCATAATATGCAAGGGGGATAAGTGACTTATCCCCCTTGCATATTAATACATAATCCCCTTGCATTTTAATTAGCTTTTCATTAGCCCCGCTCTTTCCTTCAAACAATCAATGCCGCACCTAGCTTTTCAGACAGTTGATTCGGGGGTTATGTAATATATTCCCCCCGAAAAGAACAAAGGAATCCGAGCTTATGTAAGAATAAGCAGAAGAAACATGCATGATGCAAATCCCATCCAGGGTTAAAAGCTAAACTGAAGTTCTTTTTAGGTTGGGCTTCCAACAGCTGATCTGGATGTTGATTTAAAACAATATGTTGACTTGGTCTGTGGTAAGTTGTAATCATTCATTCAAGTAATACTAGGGATTGGGGTGCCTTAGTGTACAATCGGTGACAAAATTGTTGACTGAAACATTGTACTCAAATAGGGTAACTTCAGAGAAGAAAAGAGTCTACATCCCTCCCGTGTTCCCTCCATTCAAAGTTGGGGTGTTTGTCGTTTTCTAAAGGTAGCTCGAACAGTGGCACAACATTGTATGGAGGGGATGGGGGAGGAAAAGCTATATCTCCTGTTTCTGAAGTCAGTAAAATGTCAAAAAGCCCCTTAAGGGCGAAGTGTCTCAACTCATTTTATCACTGATTGCAGCTATTACACATTAGGATACAAAGCTACTTGTATCAGTTATCCAGACCAGGGCTAGTGGGCAAGGGGTGCATTACCCTATGTAATGGCCAGTGCTAAAGGGTATGGGTTTTTTTTTTACCCATGGAGGTATCACTTTAGGTTGTTCATGAAAAGAAATTCTTAAAAGTAACAAATGACATTATAATAATGTTATTGTTGGAATATGGTCTCCTCTATAGTTTACAATAAATAAAATCTTACCTACACCCACATTGGTGACCCTCTAATATGGTTTAACTCTAATATCATTTTTGGACGACCATTTCCGTCGTTTTCATACAAGACTTCCCCCAAATCTGAAATGAAGTATAGATTTTAACCATTTTAAACTGAAATAGGGCAAGTCTTAAAGTGCTCTCTGGAACCAGGGTCTTTAACTCAGTATGTATTGAAAACAGCAGTTTAGGTCGAAATTAGGGTAAGGGGAAACCAGAAACGTTTTTCTGAAATAGGGCAAGGGTTTCAATGAGTATTCCCACCTCAAGGATTGCATAGGTAGTTAAAAACACGTGTAGCACGTGTTGGTGCAGGTGTTTTTGTGATGTGAAAAACTTGAATCAACTGTCCAAGTGAATAATAAAACATTAAGCCACCATTATTAAATAGACGTATAAATTAGGAATACAATGTCATTCATTTTAAGAAACATCAAGACTAAGATCTCGTATCAATTACTTCAGATAAGAAGCCAGTAGACAAAGGTTAATGTTCAACTGAACTGGTTCTCATTTAAATCCTTTTTGACAGGTATTCTCGGCATTCCTGTACATAACAACAGAATCCATGCCCTTCATGTGCTGTTCACACTATTCTCAGAATTCAAGAACTCACAGGTATAAAAGCAATCCGTAAACTCCTATTAATTATATAATTAATTAAATTTTACACTGTTCAAGATTTCAGTGCCAGTCAAGCCTTACTTTTCTATGACTTCAGATTCAAATTTATTTTGTTTGCACCTTTTTTTCCCTACACCAGCATTTTAAACAACTTGCCAAAGACAACCAACTGTTAAGTGACCTGCGACTGGATAGTGGTAGTGGCAATCCTTATACTGGGGGTGTGGCAGCTACTACAGAGCACATGACACTTAGTGGTGAAGAGGCACAGACTATGAGCTTTGATGACTAAAACATTTGCACCATTGTATATTTGCTGTCCCATGTCAAGTGAAAAGTTTCAGTCATGCAATGTAGAATTAACCCATTTCACTTTTATTAATGTCCTTATATAGCCTTCTGTAATTTTGTGTTACCGGTACAAATGTTATCAATGTTATTGTTGAGGGCAAGAAGATTGTGTCATAGTTGTTGACGTTAGGTTTGCAAGTCTATTTTTATTTACTGAAATAAATGTGGATAGAACTGGCTGACACTGGTATTGGTGTTATGGTAATTAATCTAAAGAAAACACATCATGTTATTAGTGATCACATGTACTTTGGTTAATTTCTTAGCCTGCTTGGAAATTGAGTTTGGCAAGACAGACTTGTATGTGGAGCTTACAAAGTGCCAATATCAACCAGTAGTAAATTTCTAATGAAACCACCAGCATGTTATATTCATTACTATTTATTGATGTACAGATTAGAACTGCACTATATGATACCATTGTGAATAAAACAGTACTGAAAACTGTGCATGACTTTTGTATGTACAGTTTAGTCACGAGATTAACTGCTACCATACGGTTTTACATTGTAAGACAAAATGTAGTAAACTGGTATGCTCAGAGTACAATGGGTATCTGTAAAACCAGGAAGAGGTCTGCAACACCATTAGGACACCCTGGAATACCCCGGAACGCCCCTCTCACGGGCCGGAACCCCCCTCCCCCCGGATTACCCTTGATAACAAAAATGAGGCAAAAAAGCTACAAAACCAAACCCTGAAATATCATTAGTGAATCAATAAATATGATTTATCTGTAATCGGAAAACAGAGATAGGGTCAGATTAACGAATTCACGCTACGTAACGACTTCTGAAGATTTTAGGAAAGTAGTCCGTTGCCTGTATACGAATATTTACCAGCCTTTATGACTGAAATATAGCTAAAGAGCCGCTTCTAAAGTCAAGAAAAAAAATAAACCAAATAAAAATTATGCAAAATATGGGACTTCCCCCGCTCCCCTCTCTAGGGGGAGTCGGACTACTCTCGTACTTATAACGATTGCGTGTTTCTTAGCGAGTCAGTCCGTGACAAGCGCTTGTCAGCTCAAAATCAACGATATGATTTGATTCGTCTTTTTTAGACACGGTTCACAGCGGTAATATTGGGGATTCCATTTCAACCATGTCCTCAGGCTCTATTTCACAGTCAAGAATCCTGTGAAGGAACCCTTCCCGTCGTCCGCTTCATTTTCAACCTAGTGTTACAGACATAGTGCTGCTGACAAAAACAAACTCGACCGTTTTACCTCCTGAAATGCTACGTGACTCTGCTGTTATCCGATCAATCCTCATGGCAGTAAAGCGCGTGCAAAAAGGCCGTGCAAAGATGACGGGTATCGTTGTGAAATAATGAATGAAGTCTGTTTCTGTGCCTATGGTTCGTACAATCTTGAAAACGTCTTGAATTTTACTAGTCGTCTTGAAGTCCTTGAATTCGGTTTAGGTCGTTAAAAAGTACTGATTTCTTTATTAGGTCTTGTCTTGAAAAGTCCTTGAAATTCACAACCTTGTCTACGCCAGAGAACTTTTTTCTGTTAAATTAGATTATTTTGTCGAGGAACATTTGGCTCATCCTCGGTGTAAGAACCTGTAAAACTCACGGGTAACGTAAAGACATTTTGTGCATGAACAATATTTTATTTCTGTTTCTTTATTTCAAATGCTATTTCTGTACCTCAGATGCAATTGCAACTGAGTCATACACAGTCATTTTGCAAAGCCTCGTTGCGGAAAAGTAGTAAAAATATCGTGATCCATCATGGCCGAAGAAGTAAATTAGGTAAATGGTTCCATGACGTGTTTTTGCCAATAGGGTGATCGGAGACAATTAAACAATGTCGATTTATTAAATAAATCTTCGTCTTCGAAAACTGAAATTTGTCTTTGAAAAATCCTTAAAAAGTCCTTGGAAATGTGTCTGTCTAAAGTTGTACGAACCATGTGTGCCGCAGATAGAACCGTCTCTAGCTAATCGTCGCTATGATAGTTAGAGGATTAATTGGTTGGTTTGCCTGTTTTCAGTCAAATGTTTCCATTACTTGCTGGTATTTTTTATTACTTCAGTCTGTAAATACACATCCTATATTGCTTATTAATTAAATGAAAGTGCTTTCTTGATATTTGCCTGTTTTTATGAGAACATAAGACTAAAGTCGACCAATGGTTTCTCAATCTACACCCTCTTCAGATCTTAGTTCCTTGTATTGCGGGCTCGGCCTCCCGGTGCCAGCCCACAGTAATGGTGGAGAGGAGAGTTGGGCCGGGGGAATTCTCCTAACTCAATATGTCGCTTTGTACTCTTTTTATACCTGGTTGTCAAACCTTTAGGGATGAACGTCACTATATTTCCCTGAATTTTTATTAAAAAATCACGCCCCTGTGTCCTTCATACAAATCAAAAACAATAACAATCTCACTCCGGTGATTACCATAATCGGAGTCCATTCATAGTCATCACATTCGAAATTAATAGGGTGTTTAAGCAGCGACGTTTTTGAACGACGCTTGTCAACCAGAAGTAAGCCTTTTTCTTTTTAATATGCCTTGGCACCACCAAATTTGTATTGCTAAGTGTTTTTACTCTTAAAGAAAAGATTTGCACCCAAATATGTTGAAAATCACGGCTCAAGAGTGCAAAAAGTTCACTTCCGGTTGACGTACGTCGCTCAAAAACGTCCCTGCTTAAGGTTCTCCTGAAAATAGTGACAGAAAATCAGAAGGTATCTAGTTGCGTTCCTGGGCAGTACCTAACGCATGAGCAAAGCCATATCACCCTGTCTCGACCCAAGGGCGTCCTTATTAGGGATCATCAAAATATGAAATATCAGCAAGTCCACAGGGGCAAACCAATCATCATGGTTTAGCCGTTTGACTGAATGAACCACGGACTCTATCTCCTGGAATAGGTTCAATTCAATGCTAATGAGAGATAGCCTGCCTATTTTACTTAAAGGCTCACAATGGTAAGGGTAGTGGATTACTTTCACATTAAAGATCGTGTTTCGATTCCTAGGCATGCGCGAACCATATTTTGCGTTCCATAATCTCAGATGGGTTTCAGCACTCACATTCCACACTGTGCTGGTTTCATTACTCAGTTCAGAGTACTTGTCACTGTTAGAAGTAATATTTACTATTTACCTCACCCATAAATCGCGAAAGTTCATGAACAAGTAATAGGCATGAAAACCATTTTTCTTCCGACTCTATTGAGGAACATTGAGAGCGTTTTACGAATTATACTGCGAAAGCCCGCGCTCGAGACGCACGCGCCAATCGAGAGACTGGGTTCTAAACGAAACCAATATGGCGACGAAGTATTGACCAGACAGAACGCGTGTGTAGTAAATTAGATCAAAAGTAACATAATTAGACTTCTGGAACTCGGATTTGAGCTTCAGCAGTTCTTTTACTTACTCGTCAACACTTGGCTTTATTCATGATCTAAAAATTCTCGCACGTGCCATGGGGGAAGTCTTGAAAAATCTGGCGCAGATCTTGTGAGGTAAGCTTATGTTCAAGTAGCTTAAGTTAAACTGAAGCTTAAATTTAAGAGTATGGTAAAGGATTCAGTTTATGGCTTAAATCATCAAGTAAATCAAGCAGATCTGGTACAAATTAAGGTGAAACATGAAATTTGGCAGGTACAGAATACACGTCATGCGGTCGCAAGTGCAGGTCAATCTCACACACGACTTCCGAAATATCAGGAAACCTCAAGTTGCTTTTCTCTCTGCTGTTTTGTTATTTATGTCTATATTTTTGTCTTGGATAAAACAGCAGGATTTGTCTGTCATCATCTTATTTAAAAAGGCACTACACAGTGAACCTCAGCACGATTTATAGCTAGAATATGCGGGGGAGGTGGGGGAGTCACATTCACAAAATGTAAAATTTATGGGGGGGCGGGCAAGAGAGAATGAGTTGGGGTCATTTCTAAAAAGCTAGGATGAATTGGGGGGGGGGGGGAAGCTTTAAAATAATCTCAGCTTTCTCAAAATAGCTACCCCCCCCCCTTCACATCAAATGAACGACCAGCCCTCAGATAGAAGGATAGATAGGATAACTTTATTTATACAATCATTTGACAATCATTCGAGATCACATTGAATTATCATTATTCGTGTATGCCTTAAACCATTTGCCTCTCGATTAAATCATTTGACATCACATTGAATCATTTGCGAATGCCTCAAACCACTTGTAAATGTTTGAGTGACTTCTTACTTTACTCAAACCATCACGAACAGAGAAGCCGACCGTTCGTTATCAAGCTCAGTCATTTTGCACATGGCATATGAATGGATTGTAATTTAAACAAACCTATTCTTGTTTTGCGGTATTGTTTTAACATCTACAGCTGTACCATTAAACAACCTAATTCTCATCTGACCAAATCGTTTGTAGTTTAGGTGAACCATTTCACACAAAACAACCTGACTATTTTTATTTTAAGAATGATCATTCCTTTATTGTTTGAACCATTTTGTAATTCATCACTAGACCATTTGTATTTTGTCTGTGCTATTTGAGAAATTGTATTTTTGGTGGTAATGGCCGCCCATAGGAGAAGAACTGAACAAAATCTTAGACAGGGGTGGGGGGGGGGGTGACGGAGTCTGTAACATGGTCCAACCCCTTACCCTTTTATATGCCATTTTGGACAGAAAAGGTACCCCTTTTGTATACCTTTTTTTTGATAAATGGTACCCTTCATTTATTTTATTTATTTATTTTGCCATGCAAAATTTACAAAGAAAAAAGGAAAAAATTAAAATACACTACAGAACAAAATTTGCGAGGAAGCCTTTAATAGAAACCACAGGGCTTATAACATAAGGCTTCCTTAATTACAACTCATGATGGCTACACATGCAGAAAAGAATTTTGGATCCAAAAATCTGTACAAACCCTCAAAAGAGAGATTGAGTTGCAAATGTCATTATTTAACCCTAGCGTC